TCCTACGGTGCTATCTGACGTATTGGTTAAGCAACCAGATCGTATCTTGGAGATAGGGATGGCAATCAAAGACCTGGACCGCGGGCCTGGCCTGTACAGGCTTGCTGCGGGATGGGATTGGGCCTTCATTTGATAAGCCCGCAAAATTGCGGGCCTCGCGGGACAGGCTCAAAATGGGATGGGCCGAATGCGGGACGGGATCAAAATGGGACGGGCCGAATACGGGACAGGTTAACCCGCGGGATTTTGAAGACCCGCAACTATAAGTCCCCATTTATGTTTGGTTTTGTTTTCAGTACTATAAATTGCCTTATTACTATGTGGAATTTTCTTGTTTAAGTTGATGAGTTTTGTTTTCAGTATTGCCAAGTTGTGTTTTAAAAAAAAAATTAAATTTTGTTACAATGATGTTGTTAAAGAGTTATTGCTTGTTGAAGAGCTACTGTTTGTTCTTTAAACGGCTCGAAATGAGAGTTTGGGTTACTTCAGAATCTTGTCTTTACACTGTAAGTTCAACAACTTGGTTGAAAGAGAAGAAGAAACCATTAGTATTAAGTTATTGTTGCTATGAAGAGACATTGTTTTAAAAAGAATCAAACAAGGAATATTTTTGAAAGAGTTAAATTTTACTGTCCAAATGGCTCTCACTTACTTCAAAACCATTAAACCAGCGAGTGATCACATTGGATGGGTTTGCGATCGATGTTGTTCAGCTCTCTTCAACTTCTTTACATAATTCTTCTACTTTAACATTCATGCAGGAAGCTGAAGGAGACGTCCCGCAGGACGACCCGCGAAGGCTTATAAATTATGCGGTACGGGATTGGGTAGCCATTCGGAAGACCGCAGCCCGCGCGGGACATGCCCGCCGTGACCCACTCGACGATGAGCCCGCTGCGGTACGGGATGGAACGGGACGGGAAAGCCCAATTGCCATCTCTACTTGGAGAGGAAAATGGTTAAAAGGCAGGGACGAGCTGCAACACAAGTGTTGGTGAAATGGTTGAATCAGGGTGAAGAGAAGGCTACTTGGGAGTTTCTCTATGATTTGCAGAAGAGGTTTCCTTCCTTTGAACCTTGTGGAAAAGGTTCTTCAGACAGGGAGGATTTGCTATAGGAAAGGCGTATTGGCCACGTGTCAGCTAAATAAGGGGTGGTTGCGAATTAACAGAGGAGTCGTTACAATTTAACAGAGAAGACACGTGCTGGACGAGAGAGAGGACGTTAGAAGACGCCGTGAAAGTTTGTTGCAGAGTCGTTAAAAGGAGAAAGAAGAAGTTGTTTTTCTTTATCGAAAAAGTTGTTGTAATTCTCTTGAGTCTTTTCTGAATTCTTTCTTAGCTTTTGGATTGTTTCTTCGTGTATATCCTTGGCTAAGGAGAGTGATTCTTTGTATATACATTGATTCATAAGTTTACTGTATCATAAACACTTAACAAACGAGTTAAAGGTAACGAGATCTCACAAGGTGTTTTTCTCAAAGTGTTTATCTTTCTCAAACGATTTTCTAGTAAATTCTCCAAGTTCCAAGGGAACTAAAAATCAATCTCAGTGCCAAACCAAAGATTCAAATGGTAGATCAAGAAGAGAATAAGATAGACAGATTGCAAGATTTTATTTTGCAAGAGGCTTTACCACCAGAGGTTGGATTTCTCTTCATCCTAGTCTGTTTTTTCTCTTCGACTTTTCTTTTGTTCTTTTTTTTTTATTTTTCTTTTGTTCTTTTTTTTTTTATATTTTTCTTTTCTGTTTTTTTTTTTTTTTTTTAATATCTGGTTGGCCCTCTTGCAGTACAACAGATAGATCAGGCCTGTTAAATCTGATGTTCAGTCCAGTTTCGTTTTGTTTTTTTGGTTTTTGGTTATTCGGTTTATGAAAATTAGCTGACATATTTAATTTGTTTTTGTTCGGTATTTATACTACTGGTTTTCGGTTTATTTGGTTTTATACCAAATATCATTATTATTTGATTTACTTTCATATTATATGAATTTAAAAAATAAATTGTAAAAAGTATCATTTATTAAAATAATCCTAGGTGTTCATAAATATAAAAATGTGAAATTAACAACAAACAAAACGACCAACGATTCAGTTTGTACAGCTTTTCTTATTTTCTCTTTGTTCTTCCAAATAAATTACATGGTACAATCTAATTTCACAATTTCTTACAACATGCAAAATCAAATCAAATTTAGATAATAGTTGAAGAAAATAAAATAAAATAATTAAAATATATCTTCACAAGGAATAAAAAAGTAAAAAAAAAGACTATTCCAAGAAAATAAATGGTTATATAATGTATATATTTATACATTTTTTCTTCGATCGGTTTTGTTCGGTTTAATCGGTTATAAACCTAACCATATCCAAATCCTACGATTTTTATAAAATCATATCCATTCGGTTTATATGGTATATACCAAATCCAAACCATATTGTCTATTTCGGTTCGGTTTGGTATTACCATATTGAACATCCCTAAGATAGATAGTGAAGATGTGTTTAACAAATGGTGGAAAGATGAAAATATGAAATGATAGAATTACCCAGCTTGGGAGTGTTGCTCTGATAAACTTAAATTTAGAAAGAAATATCACATTACATGTTAACTTTTGATTTAGTTGTAGTTAATAGAAGAAAACAAATATATCTTTCGAGAAAATGACTAAGATATCACTAAAATTTTTTTTGTCACAAATATAGCATTTAAGAATAAAAATGACCAAAATAGCACTTAATGTTTTATCAAAAGAGATAAATATACGCTTATATCCCAATGATAACTAATTTAAAGATTAGGGTTTAGAGTTAAGGGGTGGGATTTAGGGTTTAGAGTTTAGGGTTTAGGGTTTGAATTTAGGTTTTAGGGTTTAAAGTTGGGAGTGGGGTTTTGAGGATAAGATTTCAATTTTTGAAAAATAAAAAATGTTAAAATTTTCAAAAGATAAAATGCAATTTTGGTCATTTTAGTTTTTGAGTGCTATTTTTGTGAAATAAACTTAGAAATGTGTTATTTTGGAGATTTGTCTTTCTTATAAAGTTCTGAGATTATCAAATATCTAAGTGTTAAATTTTTCCATTTAAATATGTACATATTATTTTTCCTCAAAGATATTACAAAATACACACACACACACACACATATATATATATTGCTTAAGTTAATAAAACTGAAGTCTGATAATTCCGCAAGCTTAACTAAAGAAAATATTATATATATATAGGAAAAAACTAGTTTAACCCCTTATTCATTAATTTATTACAAGACTAACTCTAATTTTATTTTAATTACTAGTTTGCTTTTTATACTTTTTTTACCCCTAGTCTTTTTTTCAAAAAAAAAATAGTTACAATTTTGCCATGAAACAGATTTCTTCTTTTCTACATTTTAAATATTCACTTATTTTGATAAATTTATTTATATTTAGCCATAAATTTACTTAATTTTGACGGAATTACTTTGACAAATATGTCAACCATTGCCCATAAACTTATTTAATTTTGACAGATGTACTTTATTTTGATTAACTTACTTTAACAAATTAGGAAACTATAATGAACTGATTTCCATGGAAAAAAGAAATAAAAACATGTCAAAATTGTATGTTGTATCATGATCGATGACAACACAAAAATACATATTTGTGTTGAATCCAGATTCAAACGATAAAGAACTTATTCTATTCGCTTTGCTCTGGAAACGGTCGTCACAGAAACCACCATAAGAAAAGTGTATCGGAGATAGGGAGCTACAAAATGATGGACATAATGGAAATTAGGAATTGTCCATGGTGATGCAACCACAAAGGTATCTAACGTTCTTCAAGATTGTAATTCAAGATACATATTGGTGGTTATTCATTAAAAATGCAATTTCTTTATTGTATGCCGATGTTTTATAATTGTTAAAAATTGACAGTTTTTTTTACCATTTCTTTTAAGAGTATTAATAAATTGAATTTTTTTTCTCGAAAAATATCTATAGATCCTATTTGAAATATGGTCAATATTATACAACAAAGAAACCTACAAAAGAAAATTGGGGATTTCATCAAAAAGATAATAGCTAAATATAGATGGTGTTATATAAGAGGAAAGAAGATGATCCACAAGAAAGTTTCTTCAGATTTTCTTCCTTATGTTTTAATGTTTTATAATTTTAGTTTTGCATTACCTGTAATTCTATGATTTCTATACTATTATTGTAGTTTTACATTTTATTTAAATAAATAGTTGTTAAAAAAGAGCAAATTCTTCTCGGCTAAGAGAAGGGAAACAGTTGAGTCTCAGAAACCCAATCGTTGATACGTTGGCATTAGTTTTTTTTTTTTTGCTTAATACGTTGGCATTAGTTTCTGGCTGCAAACTCTTCTTTTTGGCTTTGATTGTTCCCTTTGACATATCTTCTAACATTGCAATGAGATGAGCTTTCTAATTTGTTAGCGTATTCTTCTCCTATCTTTTATTTTTCTTGGAAAATGATCGTTTATTTTTTTCTTTCATTTGCTATTTTATCAAAATAGAATCCTTGACTCCAACTTTTAACAGGATAATAATGTTACGAAAGTAAAACACACTTTTGGTCCCCCAGGCTCTTAACACCATTTAATATACGAAAACAACGCAATGGGACAATGTTTACTAAGAAAATACAAGCTACATAACAGCAAATTTGTATGACCTAGAGATTAATGGCCCGAATCGTTTTCTAAAAGGTGAGATATTTTGATTCGATAGCAAAATTCTCACAACATGTTGAGGGGCAAGGACTAAAGGAGTCACCACAAAGAAACATAAGAATCGTTTGCTGACCAATGACTTGATGACTCAGGAATCAGGAGCATTTGATCATAAAAAGACGTGTAATCATCCCATTGGCTGCAGACATTTCTTTTTTCGTGCTTCGCTGCCTCTTCTTCTATAAAATTCAAAACACCATAATGGTCTCTTTTATTAAGTGTTCCTTTTTTGAAAACTCATTAAAGAAAAGAAGAGATCTTGAGGATGGCCGGCGGAGGATTTGCGACAGCTCCGGCACATGGAGTGGAGTTTGAGACAAAGATTACTCCTATAGTCATCATCTCCTGCATCATTGCCGCTACCGGTGGCCTCATGTTCGGTTACGACGTTGGTATCTCCGGTAGGAATACAATATATATTCCTTTGCTAGTTTCTTTTGAAATGTAGATGTTAAAAGTAAAAGTGGATATTTTATTTATTTTGAAGGATATATAACTATGTGTTGCTGCAAGATTCTCAAGTAATATTTTTTAATGGGACATGGTTACCTACCACAAACAACTTCTTTGATAGAAACATTTCACCTAAAATAAAGAGAACCAAATCGAAATATGTACCAACTAGTTCAGTACTGTCAGTTAGTTACTGGAATCAACAAAATAATGCAAAATCTTAGCCTACAAAACCTATGTCAGTTAGCTTTTTATTTCTTTTGGTTTTAGAACAACTGCTTGTTATTGTATCGTCTACCAAGAAAAGAAACTACAATTCATGCACACTCATAATACATACTAAAATATATTATGAATACAATATCATATCTTACGAGTTCTAGACGGTAAATAATAGCAAATGAAGAGTAATTAATTTACCATCATCAGTACATATATGTAGGCGGAGTGACAGCGATGCCGGAATTTCTGAAAAAGTTTTTCCCGGTGGTCTACGGGAGAGTGAAATCCGGCGCCAAGAAACACAACTACTGCGAATGTGACAACCAAGGACTACAACTCTTCACATCATCTCTATACTTAGCCGGTCTAACCGCAACGTTCTTCGCTTCATATACGACGAGAAAGCTCGGACGAAGGCCAACCATGCTCATAGCTGGCATGTTCAACATCGTCGGTGTGGTTCTCAATGCTGCGGCACAAGACTTAGCCATGCTTATTGCAGGTAGGATACTGCTTGGTTGTGGAGTTGGGTTTCCTAATCAAGCCGTCCCGTTGTTCTTGTCGGAGATCGCACCTACTAGGATCCGAGGTGGTCTTAATATTCTTTTTCAGCTTAACGTCACTATTGGTATCCTCTTCGCCAATCTTGTAAACTATGGGACCGCCAAGTAAATACTACTTCCTCCTATCTTATTCTTCTTTCTTTCTTTCTCAGTTTGTTTGATAAAATGTAAATAATCAGACCGAGGGTTTGAGATCTTTTAGCGAAAAATAAAAATACTCGTTCCGTTATAAACTAAATACGTATTTAAATATTGTCGTAAAATTTGTTACAAAACAAAAATGTTTTATGATTCTAATAAAATTTTCATATTTATTTACATCTTTTGTCTCTAACTATTTTTTCAAAGAAAATATTAAATAAAGATAAAACTGAATATTTAACTATTTTTATGTTATATCTAATTTGAAATCGATGGAATATGTTTTATGATTTTAATACAGTTCCCATATTTATTTACATCTTTTGCCTTTAACTAATTATTAAAGAAATTATTAAATAAAGATAAAACTGAATATTTAACTATTTTTATGTTATGTCTTCCGGGATTTCAGAAAATACTATTCATATGTATACGTGTAGCACACAGGGTCGACCCTGAGACTATGAGAGCCTGTAGTTATTTTTATGTAAAAGATTTTGGGGGTTTAAAAGTTTTTTTAAAGCCTATATCCATGTAATGTTTTTCAACAAATTTAGGGACATGTAGCAAATGTTTCACTTAGCATAGACCTGATAGCACACTGAATGTAGTCGTATCTCATTTTCACGTCTTGCTTTGAACATTTCTTTTTGCTTTCTCTACGGTGAATTTCGATGCGGCTAAAAACGGACCCTATAAGTAAAATTTTAAATGTTTTGCAGGATCGAAGGCAGATGGGGATGGAGGCTGTCACTTGGTTTGACGGGAATCTCGGCGCTTCTACTGATTGTGGTAGCTTTATTGGTGATAGAGACGCCTACCAGCCTCGTCCAAAGAGGTCTTCTCGTTGAAGGAAAAAACGTTCTCCGTCAAATTCGAGGAACCGTTAATGTTGAACTAGAGTTCACCAATCTCCTCGAAGCTAGCAGTCTTGCCAAAGAAGTTAAACACCCTTTCAGAAACCTTTCTCAAAGCCGGAACTGGCCTCAGCTCCTAATCGCCATTGCTTTGCAGGTCAATAATCCACTACCTCTTTACTCAAAAACTAGGTGATAACCCGTGCCATACACGGAAGGAATGGATTAAAAAATAATTACTTTTAATATATAGATATTAAAATATAAGAGTTATAATCATAAATAATACATGTTCTATAGTAAAAATGTAACAAATTACATATGTTTATATAAGATAAACTTCAATTTTGTAAAAACTTGTGCTATTAGTTAGATTACTGAAGTATAATTCATAGAAGTAAATCTATAAGTGTAAGCAAAAAATTATATAAAATTAGTTATAATTTAAGAAAGAACAAAACATAGACAATAAATTTATTGATTTCTTAATAGAAATTATGAATATAAGATAAAACAAAAATGTGTAATAAAATAATAAAATATAAAAGGAACAAATTATAAAGAAACAAGTAAAAAAATCTGAAAAAAACTATTTCATTGGTCTCTTCAAAAGTAACCAAGTTCTAAATTCTTATAACTTTCATCTTAATTTTTTACATAGGCTTCTTTGGCTTCAAGCCAGAGATGAAATTCATGACACTCATTTTCTTTCCTAGTTTGAAATTTCTAAATTGTGTTACCTTGGATTAAAGTTTAGTACTCCATCCGTTTCAATTTACATGTCATTATAGAATAAAATTTTTATTTTTAAATATGTGTTGTTTTTTTTTAATTTTAATGTAAAATTTATTAATTTATATAATATTCTATTTTTATTGGTTTAAAAGTATTTAGGTGTATAGGTAATTGTGTTTGTATCTCGAAATATATAAAATTAAATGTTTTCTTAATTTGTGTGCAAAAATCTAAAATGACAACTAAAGTGAAATGGATGAAGTATGATATATATAGCCATCACTGATAGGGTTTAGGCCACAAGAATTGAGTCAATCAAATATTTCATCGCGAAATTAATGGCAGAATTTTGTGTATAATTTTTAACTAATCAAGAAAATTGTGTATAAATTAATAGTAACTTTCCTATAATAACCGAAAACGGATTGCAGTATGTCGATTGCATATATTAGTTTCCAATAATTTATTTTATTTCATAAATTACGGTTAAATATAAAATTATAAAAAGGAATCAAGTTTATATAGGAAACTAATATTATTGTCAGGTGATATTCAAAAACAACATCAGTTCTCCCCTCTCAGCATTTATTTAAATTTTAGGGTCGATTTCTTCATTTATTTATTTTCATCATATAATGGTTGAGGTTTGGAACCAAATTAAATCTAGATAGAGTTCATATTGATTCTCTTTGCATTATATAACGGTTGAGATTTTTTCATACTTAATTAAATTAATATATTGATGGCAATTATATTTACATATCCTGTTAACATGTGGCTGAGCCAATAATAACTTTGTTTTAGTGAAGTTTTGATGTGTATTTTTATTTGAGTTACTATAGATTTTTTGATATGATTTCGGAGTTAACTAATACTTCCAAGATCAGTTTAGATTGATTCTTGTGCAAAAGATGTTATATTCATTCCCTAAATTTAAGCTTGCCCATAATTAAGACTATATTTATGGGATCAACAATATATGTTATAAATCCGTACTATAATATATTCAAATTTTATAGTTATAATATCTATCATTATGATATTTCCAAAATCCATATATGACTATAATCCATAGCTGAACAGTGACATTATATAATTTTTTTTAATATATTCACCCAATTTTTGAATAGATAACATATGTTTACACCAGATTATATTATATTATAATATAAATGTTAGAAAAAATAATGCACTTTTAGTGGAGCTCATCCAAATAATATATAGACATATTATTTTAAAATAAACAAAAATGTTAGTAAATATGAGTTGTTTGAAGGAAAAGTTAGTCAAAATATAGTTGAAACATAGCTATATATATATATCTATATATAATTATATATATATGTTACAGATAATTACAAAACTTAGTTATATATATATATATATATATATATATATATATATATATATGTATAGGGAATTATAATATTAGAAATTATCATACATCTTATGAATCAGTAAACTTAGGTATTTCAACATTTAAATGACAATTTAAAGGTTTATTTATAAATGGATTATTGGTAACATGATGTAACATTATATCATAAGAAAACATAGGTTTAACGGCATTTAATTGTAAACACTCTAGTAAATTATGTCTATTTTTATAAATGGTATGAGAATGATTGTGAGGTTGCCACCTAAGTAATGACAATTTTGTTAATTACACATGAAAATAAGGTTATTCTTTAAAAATGTTCCCCTTTTAATATATAAGGGACTGATTTTTTTTTTTTAAAGTTTAGTTTTGATTAATTTTTCCCCTTTTTGAGAAAAAAGCATGGTTTTGGTTTGATTATTTTGGTTTTTGTTTTTCTTTGTAAAAGAAAAAATAATAATGATCCAAATATTTATAAAATTCTATTTTCTTTTTCATTTCTTTTCTTTATTTATTTATTTTTGATTTTTTGTTTGATTTGTTTTGTTTCCAGTTCGGTTTTAGTAAAAGTATTAGTAACCAACTAGATTTTTCAGATTAAAATATCAAAAACTATAAATTTTACATATATTTCAGGTAAATGTTTAGATAATTTATTTTTGGGTTAGATGTTTGCAAATATAAATTTTTGGTTTATAAATTTATTTTAGAAATATGTTTTAAGTAATATAACTAATATTTAAATATATAGTCAAAACTCTATAAATTAATAATCACTATAAATTATTTTTTTAGTTCCGAATTAAACTAGTTCAGAATATGACATAAATTGATAAAATAATAAGATAATAATTATTTAGTAAATTCTATGTAAATAGATAGTCTCATTAAAGTCATAATTAATTTATATGTATATATATATATACATTTTATATAAATAAATATTATATTGTTGATTTATATTCACTATGAAATTATCCCTATTTTTTCTTAATATTTCAGTATATTTTGATAATAATTAGTAAAATTATATCTTAAACCACAGTAAATTTTAAAACATAAAAATATACATCAAATAATATAATAAAACAATATTAATTTCAAATTTCTAAAATTTAATTAATATACATACAATAAAATTCACTATTTTTTCTTATTTTATAAAAATATTTTTTTGTAATTTTATAACTCTAGAAACTTATAAAATAATATCATAGTCTCAAATAAAATGGTTTGGTTCGATCTTCGAGATTCAAATTTAATTAGTATACATACGTTCGGACGTACTGATTAGGTTTCTTGATTTGGTTTGGTTCGATCTTCGAGATTCAAATAAAATGGAAGAGTAATGCTAAATTGGTGATTATTTGTTGTGTGTTGTTCATTACATAAAAGTGCAGATTTTCCAGCAATGGACTGGAATCAACGCCATTATGTTCTACGCTCCTCTTCTTTTCAGCACTTTAGGCTTTGGCAGTGACGCGTCTCTCTACTCTGCAGTGCTCACCGGTGCAGTCAACGTCCCATCTACTCTAGTCTCTATCTACTTCGTTGATAAAGTCGGTCGTCGTCCTCTTCTCCTTGAAGCTGGAATCCAAATGTTCTTTTCTCAACTCGTGATCGCAATTGTCCACGGCATCAAAGTCACAGACCACTCTAACAGTCTTTCCAAAGGGTTTGCGGTTCTGGTTGAGGTGATGATCTGCAACTATGTAGCTGCTTTCGCTTGGTCTTGGGGACCGCTCGGTTGGCTAATCCCTAGTGAGATTTTCCCTCTTGAGACACGTTCCGCGGGACAGAGTGTGTGATAAATATAGAAGGAGTTACTTTCGCAGGAAGAAGAGTGTTGGAGGGAAACAGGCGTTAGAAGAGTTGGAGGGAAATAAAGGAAGTTAAAAAATAAAAAGAAAAGGATAAGACCTTCTGTTTCTCAGAGAGGCTTTTCCGTTAGAAGACTCGAGGAGGAAAGAAGGAGTTTAAATACATTTGAATTTCAATTGCTTTTCTTTATGCTTTGTTGTTGTTTGTTTGAGACGATATGAGTCTGAACATCTCGTTCGCTATGAGAACGACGATCTGATTTACTTTCGTTATGAGATTGTAGATCTAGATCAGATTACAAAGCTTTCCTTCTTCTATTATATACAAAAGAGTTTACAGAGTTTACTGAGTTCTGGATAGCTAAAACCTATCATTGGTGCGGTGAAACTGTTTCGAATTCAACGCGATGTCTTCTCGAGATTTATCATCATCGGAGGTTTTGAATCAGCTCGATTCGGAAGACGAAGAGGTGTCGCTTCGTAAGGAGGTGGAGTTTTTGAACGATTCGTACAAATTGTTGATGCGCAAATCGGCGGAGAGTAATCAGTTCAATGAGGCGCGGTTTGGTACGGTGGAGGATAGTTTGAAGGAGATTCTCAGGAGGTTGGACAAACGTCCGATGGAGGCGTTTGAGTCGGATCGTCGTTTTCGAGCTCCAGAGTCGTCCAGTCCATCCTCTCAGGTACAGACTCGTCATTCTGAACCTAATCGGAGTAATGATTCTTCTCAATATCGTTCAGGTGATTTGAATCTTACTAATAGAGATCGGATGCTTAAGAAAATTGAGATGCCTTGTTGTGATGGTTCTAAGATCAATGACTGGGTGGTTGATATTGAACATTTTTTTATGATCGGGAGATTTCATGATCATGAGAGATTGGATTTACTTCCACTGTGTATTGAGGGTAGAGTGAAGAAGTGGTTTGCGTGGGTGTTGCGTCGTGGTGGTTTTCGGAGCTGGCTTGACTTTAAGGAGCAGTTGGTTATCCGTTTCTCGGAATCCATTGATGAAGAACCAAGTACACGGTTGTTCTCTATCAAACAAAAGGGTTCTGTGTCTGATTACGTTTCGGAGTTTGAAGAATTATCAGCACAGGTTCCTGGTATTGAAGATAGACATTTGGAGAGAATCTTTTATAATGGATTGAGTAAGGAGATGAAGGAAGTCATTAAGATGAAGGATCCACAGGGCTTACCTAATTTCATTGCGGTGGTTCTGAGGATGGAGACGAGTGCATTTTGCAAAGTGGTGAGTAAGGTGGAGCCTGAAGAGTCTTCTGTGGTTTCTAAAACTACGAATCCTTCTCGAGGTGTTAAGAGCAATACTGGAGGGAGAGTTTGAGATAAGCAGCGTAGTGATGTGGGAGCGAATAAGGAGAATAATGGTGGCCAACATACCTTTGTTCGTCCTCGTTTGAAGTACACGGATGCTGAGTTGGATGCGATGCGGAGAGATCATATTTGCTTTAAATGCAAGGGTCCATGGTCCAAAGTTCATGTCTGTCCTAATAAAGAGCTTAGGGTTATGACAGTGGTTCATGGTATTGAGATGGAAGTGTTGGAAGATGAGACTGCGGTGTTGGATGATGTTGATCAGAATGTATGTCGGGAAGTGTGTACTCTATCGTTGAATTCTTTCTTAGGAGTGAATTCTCCGAAGACTACGAAGTTGAAAGGCTGGATTAATCACAAGGAGTTGGTGTTTATGTTGGATAGTGGAGCTTCGCATAATTTCATATCTCCTATGGTTGCTCATCGCTTGAAGTTGCAGTTCTGTGATAAGACTAATATGGAGGTGTTGTTGGGTAATGGAGTTATGGTGCGGGCTGATGGAGTCTGTAAATCAGTGCAGTTTCAATTAAATGGTACTGGTTTTACATCGGAGTTTATTGCATTGGAGTTGGGTAGTGTGGATGTGATACTTGGAGTACAATGGTTGGAGACCTTGGGGAAGTGTGAAGTTGACTGGAAGTTGCAGGAGTTTTCTTTTCTTTTTGAAGGGAAGCGTGTGACATTATATGGAGATCCTTCGTTACATTGTCAACAGCTGTCCTTGAAGTCTCTATCGCCGGTATTCAGTGTTGAGGGTGTGAGTTCTGAATGTCGACAGTTGACACCTGCAGGTCAAGAGGTTTCGTCGGTGCTCGCACCTCCTATTGCAGCATTATTGAATCAGTTTAATGATGTTTTTGCCATACCAGTTTCTCTACCTCCTGTTCGTGGCCAAGAACATGCTATCAACCTGGTTCCGGGTGTGTCTGCGATTTCGGTCCATCCATATCGCTATACCCATGCTCGTAAAGTAGTGATGGAGAAAATGGTGCAGGAAATGTTGGAAGCTGGTATTATCAGACCAAGTGTGAGTCCTTTCTCTAGTCCAGTGCTTTTGGTGAAGAAAAAAGATGGTGGTTTCCGCTTTTGCGTGGATTATAAAGCATTGAACAAGGCCACTATTCCTGATAAATACCCTATTCCTGTTATTGATCAGTTGCTGGATGAGTTGTTTGGTGCAGTGATTTTCTCGAAACTAGACTTACGCTCCGGTTATCATCAAATACGGATGGTGGAAGAGGATGTGAAAAAGACTGCTTTTCGAACGGTGGAAGGGCATTATGAGTTTTTGGTGATGCCTTTTGGCTTAACCAATGCCCCTGCTACCTTTCAAGCTCTCATGAATAAGATCTTCAAGCCTTTCTTGAGGAAGTTTGTTCTGGTTTTTTCTTGATGATATACTGGTGTATAGCCCGTCGAGTGAGTTACATGAGGAGCATTTGAGGCAAGTTTTCCAGGTGCTGAGGGAACATAAATTGTTTGCTAATAGGAAAAAGTGCTCATTTGGTGTTTCTCAAGTGGAGTATTTAGGCCATATTATTTCCAGTGAAGGGGTAGCGACTGATGGCGTTAAAACAGAAGCTATGGTGAAATGGCCTATCCCTAAGACAGTTAAGCAGTTGCGGGGGTTTCTTGGATTGACAGGGTATTATAGACGGTTTGTTCGGGAGTATGGTTTGATGGCTAAGGCATTAACATCGTTGTTAAAGACTGACAAGTTTGTGTGGAGTCCTGAAGCTCAGATTTCTTTTGATAAGTTGAAGCACGCGATGATCAATGCTCCGGTTTTGGCCTTACCTGATTTTACCAAGCGTTTTGTGGTGGAATCTGACGCTTCTGGTGTGGGCTTAGGTGCTGTATTGATGCAGGACAACAAACCTATTGCATTCTTTAGCCATGCGTTGACTCCGAGGGAGCAATTAAAACCGGCTTACGAAAGAGAGTTGATGGCTGTGGTGATGGCAGTTAGGAAGTGGAAACACTACTTATTGGGGAGGCATTTTACGGTCCATACTGACCAGAGGAGTATTAAGTATTTGTTGGAACAGAAGAAAGTCAATATGGAGTATCAAAGGTGGCTTACAAGATTATTGGGGTTTGACTTTGATATTCTCTATAAGCCTGGTTGTGAGAATAAGGCGGCTGATGGTCTTTCGCGTAGCATGTCTATGGCTTCCTTGTTACTTACTTTAACGGTGCCTATGGCTTTGCAATGGGAAGACTTATATACTGAGATTGCCTTGGATGTGGATATACAGAAATTGATCTCTCAGGTGACAGAAGCTGGTGGTGTTACTAAAGGGAAATGGTCTGTTCGTGATGGGAGGTTGTGGTCCAAGAAACGTTTGGTGATTCCTGCTAAGTCAAAATTTATTGCTGTGATTTTGGCTGAATGTCATGACAGTAAATCTGGTGGTTATTCCGGGGTGTTAAAAACCATTAAGAGGATACATCAGTCGTTTACGTGGGAAGGGTTGAGGAAGAAGGTGTAGGATTATGTGGCTGAGTGTCAAGTGTGTCAAATGCACAAGCATTCTACTCTTTTCACCAGCTGGACTCCTTCAACCTTTACCAATTCCGAATAGAGTTTGGGAGGATATTAGCATGGATTTCGTGGAGGGTTTGCCTTTGTCTGGTGGAGTCAATGTGATATTTGTAGTGGTGGATCGGTTGAGTAAGTATACACACTTTATTGGCTGGAAGCATCCTTTTACAGCTCTTGATGTCGCCTTGAAGTTCACTCAGGAGATTGTGCGCTTGCACGGTTTTCCCAGGAGTATCGTCTCAGATAGGGACCGTGTGTTCTTGAGTGCTTTTTGGAAGGAGAGTTTTCGTTTGGCTGGGACTCAGTTGAAGTACAGTACCTCTTTCCATCCACAAACAGATGGCCAAACAGAGGTGCTGAATCGGTGTCTCGAAACTTATCTCAGGTGCTTTGCTTCGGGCCATCCTCGTACTTGGTCGAAGTTTTTGTGCTGGGCTGAGTTTTGGTTCAACACCAGTTACCACACTTCTTTGAAGACTTCTCCGTTTGTGGTTGTATATGGTCGTGATCCTCCTGCTCTGTTGCCATTTGAGGAAGGATCAACCAAGAACTTTGAGTTAGAGGAGTCTTTGCGGCAGAGGGATGTGATGTTGGGGCAGTTGAAAGAATTTTTATTACGAGCTCAACAGTTGATGAAGTCTCAGGCAGACAAGCACCGTCGAGATGTGTCGTTTGAGGTCAATGATTTGGTGTATTTGAAGCTGCGGCCATATCGTCAATCTTCTGTAGCTTCTCGTTTCTGCAACAAATTGGCTGCGAAGTATTATGGTCCATTTCAGATTTTGGAGTGTATTGGGAAGGTTGCTTATCGTCTCAAGTTGCCTGTTGGGTCGAAGATTTATGATGTCTTTCACGTTTCTCAACTCAAATGTTGAAAGAGCAATCAACTGTCCGAATCCCCACTCTTTTTTAGCCGAGTCGAATCGCTTCACTGTTCCATCTGCAAGAATCCACAAATACAATCAAACTCGGCTTCTAGACTATGCAAATCGAATGGAGGATGAAAGGTGAACACATACCTGTGACACCTAAGTACTTGTGTTGTTTTGGATTGTGGACAAAGAGTTTGAGATCAACGTTGACTTCCCAACCATATGGAAGTGATTCGGT